AACCTTTCCCGTCCCCGAACCTTTCCCATCCCCGAACCTTTCCCATCCCCGAACCTTTCCCGACCCCGAACCTCTCCCGTCCCCGAACCTTTCCCATTCCCGAACCTTTCCCATCCCCGAACCTTTCCCATCCCCGAATTTTTCCCGTCCCCGAATCTTTCCCATCCCCGAACCTTTCCCATTCCCGAACCTTTCCCATCCCCGAACCTTTCCCATCCCCGAATTTTTCCCGTCCCCGAACCTTTCCCATCCCCGAACCTTTCCTGGCCCCGAACCTTTCCCGTCCCCGAATCTTTCCCATCCCCGAACCTTTCCCGGCCCCGAACCCTTCCCAGCCCCGAACTTTTCCCATCCCAGAACCTTTCCCATCCCCGAACCTTTCTCGTCCCGAACCCTTCCCATCCCCGAACCTTTCCCATCCCCGAACCTTTCCCAGCCCCGAACCTTTCCCGTCCCCGAACCTTTCCCGGCCCCGAACTTTTCCCATCCCCGAACTTTTCCCGTCCCTGAACCTTTCCCGGCCCCGCCGTGGATGCGGCGCTGATGGGACCGAGGGGGCTGCGGGGACCCCCCCGCAATGTGCGGGGAAACTGAGGCAGCGGGTCCGCACCCCCGGCACAGGAGCGCCCAGAGGGAGGAGCCGCCCCATCCTGGGGTGCGTGTGGCCCCCAGCACAGCGACAATGCCACCGCGTTGTCACAGCCATCCACCGAGGGACGGGATCAGGGTGCGTGTGGCCCCCAGCACAGGGACAATGTCACCGCGTTGTCACAGCCATCCACCGAGGGGGGTGACAGGGTGCGGGTGGCCCCCTGCGCTCCCCATCAGCCGCGGGGCCATTCGGGGGGGAGGTGACAGCTTTCTGCCCCATTTATCCCGGGTGACAGCAAACAGACATTTTCCAAAGGTCACAGGATGGCTCTGCCGGTGGGGCGGGCGGGGCGGGGGCTGCACCCCCGGGCACGGGGAGGGGGTCCCCACATTTCCGAGGGCAGTGAGGAGGAAGAGGAGGCTCTGGGGGTGAAGGCGCGTGGCTGGAGCCCCCGGAGGGGGGTGAGGAGCCCCGGTGCCCCCCCCCCCGAGCAAACAGGGCTCTGCCGCCTGCCCGCGTTTTATGGCCCCGGTTCCGCCGGAGGCGCATTAGGGCCCCCCGGCCCGGAGGAAGCCCCTTATCAGCCCTGTTTGCTTTTCCGGACGGGGCGGGGGGGACAAGGACACCTGTCCAGGCTCGGGGGGACAAGGACACCTGTTTAGGACACACGGACACCTGTTTAGGACACACGGACACCTGTCCAGCCTAGGGCAGGGAGGGACATGAACACCTGTCCAGCCCTGGGGACACACGGACACATCTCCGGGGCGGGGGGGGACACAGACACCTGTCCAGCCTGGGGACACAGGGACACCTGTCCAACCCAGGGTGGGGGGACACCTGTCCAGGCCAGGGGGACAAGGACACCTGTCCAGGGTGGTGGGGGACACGGACACCTGTCCAGGCCAGGGGGACACACACACATCCCGGGGACAGTATAGGGACAGGTGGACGCAGCCTATGGGGACCCTGGGGATGCTGCCAGCCCCTCCCTGTGTCCCACTGGGCACCCCCTGCACCAGAACACCCCCAGCCCCTCCAAAAATTCCCCAAAGTGGATTTTCCCACCCCGAGACCCCCAAAGCGGCTCCCCAAGAAGCTCTCACTAAACAGCTCCACTGAAGCAGCTCCTCCACCCCAAACCCCTGAAGGAGCTCTGCCCCCCAAAAATCTGTCCTGAATCATCTCCCCACAAAGGCACCTCCCACTGAATCCAAAAACCCCAAAAGTGACCACCCCAAAGCAGTTCCTCCCTCCAAAGCAGCTCCCCAAGGCACCCCACTCATGCAGTTCCCCCCAGGACGCCAAAACAGCTTCCCCCCTCAAAGCTGCACTCTTTACCTGAGCACAGCCAGGGTGAGACAGTAAAGGTTTCACAGTTCATCAGTAAAAATACATTTTTTTGGGGGGGGAGGGAGCAGTGACACCCCCCAGCAGGGAGAGGAACCCTGACCACACAGTGGCCACCACCCCCCAGGCACGACCCCCCACCCATCCTCCGCCAAAATTATCAAATATTTACAAACACCACCAAA